GTTAGTGAGGTAATTCACTGCTAACAAGATGAGGTTTTAATAAAAGCTGGCTGTCTATACAGTATAGAAATGTGTGTTTGTTTGATTGTTTGTTTTTAAATCAGTGCTACCCTACTAGAGAAAAATGGCTGTAGTGAAAAAAAACAAAAAAACATAGGAAAACATCAACACCCATAATGCAGAACAAAGAGAAGGCCGTAATCTTTCATGGCATGAGAGGGTTTCTGAATGGCTCTGACAGCGATAGTTAGTGAACAGTGCACTCTAGTGGTCTTTATGAAACAGAATCATGAGTTCTGTACTCTACAGGACAACTTTAAAGACACTAGTCAATTTCAGAGAGCATTGACTGCTTTAAAGACAACTTCAAAGTGTTGATGTATGTATTATTGACCAGTGCATGTTCTGCCAATGAAAAATGTTTGTCTTTATAATCTTTCATCAAAATGTAATAACCTGCTCGGCCACAGCTTTATATTTGGCAGACATCAGAGATCCCTCTTCACCGCCAGTCTTAATTCTGCTGTATAACACCACTTTTCATGATCCAATCAATTCCTTATGGATAAAATAATAATAAGTCCCGCTGTACATTTATTCTAGATGCATTTACTGTTTAATTCTGAAATATATTAGATGATGGAAGTTAAACTGTTGCAAAAGGCAATGTTAACTTTAAATCTATATTGAGGAAAAGAGTTGAAACATGAGTTGTATATGAAATATGGTCCTGTTATATGGAAATATGGAGTTTGAGGCTATGTGTTTGACTTTCACACTCACCGATCTCAGCTGGGAGATGCATCATTGCAGAACTCTGCTGAACAAATGCCCTGGAGATCACAAATCACACACACACACACACACACACACAAGATGCCATAATGAACTTTTCTTCAGCTTCCTGATTTTAATAAATAAATAAAACTTTTTGCAGCTTTCTGGTTTAAAATAAATTAATATTAATTAATAAATAAAATAATAATAATTAAAACATTCCTTCAGCTTTCTCTTTTAAATCGATAAATTAATGAACTAATTATATAAAATAATAACTAATAATAATATTATTACTGCATTAATTATTTTATTATTAATAAATAATAACAATAAATAATGATAAATAAAAAATGATAAATGCATAGTTGCATACTACTATTTAAAATGTTGCATATGTACTGTTCTATATATAGGCAGTATACAGCGCATACTTATGCAGTAATAAGTACACTAACGAAATTAAATATCCATATTGTATGAGGGACATTTACCGGCTTCTTAAACTGACATCATCACGCAGCATGGACTCGTCTGCAGCCAGAAGCATCTGGAGGCACTTTCTCGCTTCCTTCCAAGCATCATAACCCAGAGCCATAAAAGCATTGAGTGTGGGCTTTGATGAAGCAGAAAAAAAAAGCATAAGGATGCAAAAGAATCCATAATGTTTAATACAAAACTATATGGAGCCAGTGGCGGCTCGTCGGGGGAGGCAGGGGAGGCACAGCTTCCCCATAATTTTGAGGTGAAAATGTTGATAATGTACCAAGTACTTATGAGAAGCGATATTGAATATTTAATCGCCAACAGATTTACCAAGCTGTTATTCAAACAGTAACGTTATACAGGTGCATCTCAATAAATTAGAATGTCGTGGAAAAGTTCATTTATTTCAGTAATTTCAAATTCTTGAATCGATTTTGCTTGGCAATCCTCATAAGGCTGCGGTTCTCTCTGTTGGTTGTGCATCTTTTTCTTCCACATTTTTTCCTTCCACTCAACTTTCTGTTAACATGCTTGGATACAGCACTCTGTGAACAGCCATCTTCTTTGGCAATTAATGTTTGTGGTTTACCCTCCTTGTGAAGGGTGTCAATGATTGTTTTCTGGACAACTGTCAGATCAGCAGTCTTCCCCATGATTGTGTAGCCTAGTGAACCAAACTGAGAGACCATTTTGAAGGCTCAGGAAACCTTTGCAGGTGTTTTGAGTTGATTAGCTGATTGGCATGTCACCATATTCTAATTTGTTGAGATAGTGAATTGGTGGGTTTTTGTTAAATGTGAGCCAAAATCATCACAATTAAAAGAACCAAAGACTTAAACTACTTCAGTCTGTGTGCATTGAATTTATTTAATACACGAGTTTCACAATTTGAGTTGAATTACTGAAATAAATGAACTTTTCCACGACATTCTAATTTATTGAGATGCACCTGTATATACAAATTTAAGGAAGACAGCCTAAGCTGGATATAGGCTACAGCAGTCGGCTTAATTAAATGGCGCAACAGGCAGCTCTCTTTTAACAGACTTTTAAGAAGGGATGGATGTTTGCTTCAAGTGATAGGCCAGGTAAGTGAAGTTATATTATCTTGCTGTATGTATGTCGTTTTCTTTACGTTTTCTGACTAAAAGCAACCAAAAAGCCATTTTAAAGTGGTTAAGGAAATAATAATAATCGGCAGGGATCCCAGACCAATACAATTAGTGTGCCTCCTCTATTTTAAAACCCACGAGCCGCCACTGTATGGAGCTCACCTGTTCAAAAACATCCTGATGATGCACAAGAGCCGGTCCATTGAAAAGATGCTTGATAACACTGAGGTCCAAAATCTGGTCTCCAATGGCAACGCCAATTCTGTGCCTGGGCTGTTATATCCAAACATTGTATACAAGTTAAAAAGTATCTTGCTGAATTTAACATTTTGCATGGATTTCAGAATGTCTTTGGATTTCTTTTGCTTTTATGACAGATCATGTTCTCCAGCATGTTCCAAAAACTTTTTTTTATGTCTTTATATTGACTACTTTAAATACTATATGCTTTGTCAGTATTAGAAACGCTGACAGTCGTGCCAATAAAGCTTGGTTGTCAATAAAAGAGTTTACTTTAAATTCATGAATGCAGATTTTCAATGTCCATTCTGACCTTTGAAACCTTGTATCCACACAGAATTGCAGCGGAAGTATTAATATTCCGAGTAACATCATTTAGTCATTTTATAAAGCTAAACACGATCTTATTACATAACAAGACTTGAGTAATTCAGTTCAGACAAACATACTTTCATTCCCAGGAGTGAATAAAGTTACTCACATTATCCGGCATGGAGAAAACTCCGTAAGGCAAGTTGTGATAAGAAAAGTCACTTTTCTCCTCCACTTTTACGAAAGACATGTTGAAGTTGCAGTCGTACTCTGAGATACTCCTAGAGTGAACAGCAGCGCGAGTAACCTCTTCCAGATGTTCACTTGAGACATATGAAAGTTACCGCCTCACGTGTCGAAGCGGCGAGCCAATCAGAGACGCGCCCTTCTATCCTCCCTACGTCAAGATTACTTCGTCTATTCGACGTGACTCAGCAGAAAAGTACCAATCACAGAACGATACCCTAACGTTAGGGTATGGGTCCCATAACTTTAACTAATTCCTAATGTTCTAGGAACGTTTTGTGCACCCATAAACGTTTCTTTCTTCTTCTTTTTTTTTTTTTTGTTACAACCTAATAAAAACATTGTCTAACGATAATTTTTTGATGGACAAAACAGAATAATCATATTTTCCACACAGAATGGATGTTCTCCTTATTTCGTTTTTTAAATTCCTAACATCTTAAGAACGTTACTTTTAGGTTTACAAAAGCCAGGGGTAAGCTTAGTGTGAAAATTGATATTTGTTATTATCATTTACAGCACCTGTAAGGCAAAAACTGTTAGTTTTCCATATTTCACAATTTTCTGACATTAACTAAGCTCCAGTCAAAGGCTCCCCTTGAACATTATTTTTTTAAAAGCAATAAGCCCCAAGAAGCCGTGGTTTACAGTGAATTTATAACAGCTAAGGGGCGTTGTTAGG